TAGAAGAATCGGAACTCTACCTACTAGTATGTAGATGACAAACAAGAGATTGAGTAGCCCAACTCTAAGAGGTAGCAGAGAAGAAGAAGGGGAGGAGGAGGAAGGACGTTGTGCATGTGAAGCACCTTCTGCGCCTACAGGACCTGGTGTAATTCAAGGTACAGAATGCCACTGATTATTTGGCACATCGTGAGGGTGCTCAATCCTGTGAAGGCCTTTCATATGGGCAGAGTGGGGGGGGGGGGTTGGGGGGGGGGGGGGGGGGTTTGCTGGTTAGGGCAGGGGTTGGTCTGAAAAAGAGCATACCTGTTTCCTGCTAGCACACCACCTGGTGCATTTCATCCCTCCTCAATTCACTATCCCTCTCCCTTGCGTAATCACTGCCGGAAGAATCATCACCGCTCTCTGGATCATCTTCAAGGACACAAGTCTCTCTCCGCTGCCCACTTGAAACCAACGTTTGTGCCCTCGTGCGTACACCCGCTGCTGGTGAACCCCCTGCTATGGTCCCATCCACCACAGCTCCCTCACCGGTGTCCTCTAGACCCAACTGCCTCATCGCCCAAGAATCTCGTCCTGAGGCAGGTGGGCGACCTCTCCCTCGGCCTGTGCCTGGTGGTCGTCCTCATCCTCTCCCGGTGCCACAACCCCCTCCACGTGCACGTGCATGCTCTTGTCCGTCATCCTCCTCCCTCCTGCTCTTCCTGCCAGCACGACTAGTCGTGAAGTTATCAACAATAGCGGAGGAGACTCGTGTTGGGCGTGGCGGCATGCCCAATGGACTACGAGCAAGCAGAATATCCCTGGCTGTCCTGGAGGTGGAAGGGCCAGATGCATGAAGAGGAAGAAGTGGTGGACCGGGTGTAAGTGGAGGCAGGGTGCTACCACTAGATGATGACGAAGGGGTAGTATGTGCAGAACTCGGTGCGCGCCCGTGTGTGGTAGGCTGTCCGCCACCTACGCCGAGTGTCGTAGGCCTCCCCAAATGAATCCCTGAAGTCGTCCCTGTCGTCGGTGGCGATATCGTGCTCAATGGCAGTGGCGGGATCCCGTAGAAAGTGCACCGCGTGAGAACATCATGTGAAGACGGAGACGTGTTCTGGGGAGTCGATGGCCGAATGCCCGCCTCAGCAAGTCATGCACTATCGCCTCTATCTCTGCGAATCCCATCCAAACTAGGTCGATCTCCAGCAGCACCACCCCTGTGCAACCTCTGGTTCGTGCGCCCGCATGTCACATCGTCGCGGATGACGCTCTCGCCAGAGTGGCAATCACCCGGCCGTCCACTAGCACTCTCCTCCCTCCCTCGATCCCCGGCCTGGTCCAAGGTCACATCAACTGTAACCTCTACCACGTCCCTCATCCTCTGGTCCATCCGCTGCTCCACCCTTTCATCAACCCTACGCTCCACCCTCTGCTCCGCTCTCTTCTCAACTCTCAACTCTACCTTACACTCCGACCTGTCATCCGCTGTACTGTGCACTGTACGATCCAGCGTTTGCTCCACCCGCTGCTCAACTCTCGGTCGATGTCGCCACTCGAGGGGCTCGTGCTGTAAGGTCGATGGTGCTCCGGGGTCCACCCTCTCCTCCACGCGCTGCTCACACGACTGCACCAATGTACGTGGACCTGTGGCGGCATGCGGACGGAGTGAGCCAAGCAACCCAACTGACTGAGAGATGATCTGAGAGGCGTGCTCTGCCTCCGCAAACTAATGCGCCACCTACTCCACAGCGGCCTGCTGTGGCAACTGCTCCACCCTATGCTCGTCCCTCTCATGTCGTGGAACCTCAGGACGTTGAGGCACCCTCCTCTCCCTCTCCGCTTGCGTGTGTGTATCGACCCCGTGCTCCATGGGGGGTTGGGACGTATGTGTCGCTGCGGCGACAGAAGAGGGGTCAGCAACACTAGCACCTGCTGCTGTGGGACTCATTGAAACTGGAACCTCCTGCGTCCATGTCGGATCCTGCATCGCCTCCTCCTCCTCTGTCCGCATATCACGGGCCAGCAACTCCTCCATATCAACCCCGCCGCCAACCCTCTTGCGCATGGACACCACGGTATGCATGGTGCCACCAACGTAGGCGTCGAAGTCGTCGTGCGGATCGTGTCCACCCCACTCGTCCAGCAAGTCGTGCTGGTCCTCTGGAAGAATCATCCCAGCACCCGTCTGTGCCTCTGCCTCGTTCCTAATCCCCTGGTGCATCCACACGAGGTCATCAAAAATGCCGTCCTCCGAGTCCTCCGAGTCCAGTGCCGGTGCCTTGCCCTTCCCATCTCGATTGCGACCCTCCTTCTTCCTGTTACGCCTCTCGATCGCCTCGGCCTCCTCCTCCGGCACATCTGCAGGGATGGCATCGTCCTCGTCCAAAACGACCTCCTCCTCCTCAACCTGGTCCGCCCAGATGTCCACGTACCTGCTGTCCCTCCGCTTGCTCGCACTGAGGAGCTGCAAGTTCCAATGGATAAAGACGAGCTTCTCAACGCTATGTGCGGACAGGCGGTTCCTCAATTTCGTGTGAACGAAATCGTGGGTGGCCCAGTTCCTCTCACAAGGACTGGCCGTGGACCACATGCCCACCACTGCCCGCGCAATGCTCTGCAAAATGGGCTGCTGGCCACCGTGAAGCCCCCACCACGTCGAGGGATGCATCTTGTTCGCGTCGGCGGTAGCGAACGGGTCCCACCAGTGCTGAGCATCCTTTGGCCAATATCGCGGGTCATCGCTGTGGAAAGTCCACAGGGCCTCCCACAGATCCTCCATGGCCTTCGTGTCCCACCTTCCGACAATGCGAACGAAATGCTCTAGCGCCAACTGCACAGCAGACCTGCTGCGGTCCTCAAGCAATGAAATGTCGCGCCGCCGCGGATCCAACAGGTAAGCAGCTGCATGAGCAGGCTGCCGCATCATCGCGCACCGATCCCTCACGATGGTCATCACCGCGTCCCTGTCGAAGTCTGACAGCTGTAGTGAACGAAGTTTCCGCCGAAGGATGGACTCCAAATCCCACAGGCCAGTGGGTGATGAGCCGTCCCTGTCAACATCCCTGAGGAACATGTAAACGGGACCCATGACGTCCATCACCGTCCTGACGCCACTCCAAAAGTCGTCGTCCCTGCAGAGCCTGCGGACATGAGGCATCCACTCTCGACCATCCCCGGCCGCTTGCCCACCTCTCCGACGACACCAATGTGTCCAAGACCTCCCTCTGGTCGCACAGCCTCTCCAACATCATGTATGCTGTACCGAAACGCATCTCCGCTGGTCGCCTGAGCACCAACGCCTTCTTCATTACTTTGTGAAGTGCAAGCGCTTTTTGTTTGTTGCGCATGAACTTCACAATCCTGTGCGCGTCTTTCATGGGCTGTCGCGCAAAAGGCTGTGCGGCAATGTTCCTCAGCAGCAAACTCAGGCAGTGTGCTGCGCACGGGATCCAGGGAATGCGACGCATAGCAGGATCTGGGTGTGTCTGTAACTTGTGCACCGCGGTTTTCATGACCTCAACGTCGTCAGTGCATATCGCATTGACATTCCCGATGTCAATGTCATGTCGAATCACGTCCTCCCAGATCTCTGCTAATCAAACGCCGGTCTTGTCGCGATGCGACATGTCAATCATCCGGATGAGGATGGGTCCGGAGTCCCCTGCTGCGATGAAGTTCATAATGGGCTTGTTTGTCGTGTAAGTAGCCCCGTCCGTCATTAGCGTGCAGCCGGAAGTAGCCCACTTTGCCTTCTTAGGGGCAATTAGCGTTGCGACCTCATGGAAGATAATATCCAGCATCCTCGTCCGGACCCCCTCATATGAGAGGAGTCGTGGAACTGGTACTATCGTGGGACGGAATAGAGTGGATATGTAATACCACAACTGCTGCGTCTTGGCCAAACGCAGCCAGCTGAATGCCACTCTGCCACGATAGATAGCGAGGGCCCACAACCGATCAAGATCCATCTGGATCTTGCTCCCTATATACGGATCCAGAGTCGATTGTCGCCTACCCACTACGGATGTGGACGCGGGTGTTGCACTAACACTACAGCGGCCTGCCTCAATACTGCCACTCACACCTCCTACACTTCCTGATACACGGGGTGGCGCGTCCTGAAAACCCGCAGGTTGAGTGCCGCCTCGTGACCTGCCACCACGCTGACGATCTGCATCCAAATCGTCGTCCAGGCTGATCGTCCCCCCACCTGTGTCGCCACCATCTGCCCCTCCAGTGAGCGATGCATCCGCCCCCCAGCACGTGAGGGTGTCCCGGGCCTCGTATCCTCCTCCTCTCCACCCCCCTCCGCCTCCATGTAATGACGGAGGTCGTCCGCGGCCATAACACCCTCCACCCTGTCCGCGTACTCCGAAGCCAGGCGCCGCGAGAGGGCATCTCTAAGGACTACCCCCACCCTTTGCAACCCGTACAAAATCTCTTCAGTCCGGCGTGGGCAATACGTCTTCTGCTTCGTAAAATGCTCAACTCCACGAGACCTAGATCCCGTGAAAATGTCCCCGCACAGGCGGCAACGGATAAGGAAGTTGCCCCCGCCTGACTTCCCCCACTCCTGGCCCCTCTCGACCCACTCCCACACCACATGACCGCGCTTCAATTCATCCTGTTTGTGCTGCGGCGCTGGCACAAATGGTGGTAGCGGGTCCCCCCTACGCCGTGCGCTGCCGGATGCCATACCTCCAAAAAAGGTGACGGTGGTGCGGTGAAAGCACGAGTACTGTCTGTAGCTATGCACTACTGGCGACGCACGCCTGTTGAGCTTGTACTCTACAGAACGTCGACTTCTCCGCATCTGCTGCATGGAAAGAAAAGAAGGAAGGGAGAACAATTAGAATTGACATCCTGTACGGATGAGATGATTATTGATTGGTCTTCCTGATTTATTGATTGATTGGTTGTTTGTTTGATTGATTGATTGATTGATTGATTGATTGATTGATTGAATGATTGATTCATTGTTTGATTGATTGGTTGTTTGATTGATCTTCTCCTCCTTCATGTCCTCCATGTCCTACTCCATCTCCTCCTCCATCTCCTCCATCTCCTACTCCATCTCCTCCTCCATCTCCCCCTCCTGCCATCTCCTCCATCTGCCACTCCATCGCCCTATCCCGACTTCTCCCACTCCAAACTCCTTGTACTCCATCTCGTCAATCTCCTCCCCCATCTCCTACTCTATCTCCTCCTCCATCTCCTCGTACTCCATCTCCTCCCCCATCTCCCACTCCATCTCCTCCTCCATCTCCTTCTCCATCTCCTCCTCCATCTCCTACTCTATCTCCTCCTACTTCATTTCCTCCTCCATCTCCTACTCCATCTCCTCCTCCTCCATCTCCTCCTCCATCTGCTACTCCATCGCCCTATCCTGACTTCTCCTACTCCATCTCTCCGACTCCGTCTCCTACTCCATCTCCTACTCCATCTCTCCTACTCCGTCTCCTACTCCATCTTCTACTCCATCTCCTACTCCACCTCCTCCCACTCCATCTCCTCCCCCATCCCCTACTCCATCTCCTCCATCTCGTACTCTATCTCCTCCTACTCCATCTCCTCCTCCATCTCCTCCCACTCCATCTCGTCCTCCATCTCCTCCCACTCCCTCTCCTTCTATACCGTCTATACCGACGGACTCAATCTTTGATTGATTGATTGATTGATTGATTGATTGATTGATTGATTGATTGATTGATTGATTGATTGATTGATTGATTGATTGATTGATTGATTGATCGATCGATACCGACAAAGTGATGAAGAGGACTGAAATGACAGTGGAGTGTTAACGGAATATCAACGAGCTATGTTCACCCTTATACATGCAAAATGGCACTTTGAAACACGGCGAAAGACTTCGATACGAATCCTGACCCGACAGGGACTGACATGACATCTATTGACACTTCATACATGTCAGAAGAGGGCGGGATAGCAAACTGTGAAGTACCGAACTGGTACGAAACAGAGAAAGAACCGACCTTTCACACAGAGTAAGAGATAGCGCAGCCGAATATCAGCAAGCTATGTTCACCCTGATACATGCAAAATGACACTTTGAAACACAGCGAAAGACTTGGATACGAATCCTGACCCAACAGGGACTGACATGACATCTATTGACACTTCATACATTTGAGAAAAGGGCGAAATAGCAAACTGTGGAGTACCGAACTGGTACGAAAAAGAGCAAGAATCGACCTTTCACACAAAGTAAGAGATAGCGCAACGGAATGCCAATCAATCAATCAATCAATCAATCAATCAATCAATCAATCAATCAATCAATCAATCAATCAATCAATCAATCAAACAATCAATAAATAAATCAATCAATCGATCAATCTATCAATCAATCCATCGAATCAACCAATCAATCAATCAATCAATCAATCGAACAATCTATCAATCAATCAATCAATCCATCGATCTCGTCGGATCGTTTCCTTCAAGATTCGTCGGTAGACGGATCTTGAAGGAAACGATCCGTCGAGATCGGATCTTGAAGGAAACGATCCGTCGAGATCGGATCTTGAAGGAAACGATCCGTCGAGATCGACGGATTTATTGATTGATTGATAGATTGATTGATTGATTGATTGATTGATTGATTGATTGATTGATTGATTGATTGATTGATTGATTGATTGATTGATTGATTGATTGATTGCGAGCGGGGGTGGGCGGATGCGGCCGGAGGCGGGAGGAGGTGCGGGCGGAGGCGGGGAGAGGTGCGGGCGGTTGTGGGAGGAGGCGGGAGGAGGTGCGGGCCTAGGTGGGGAGAGGTGCAGAGGCAGGGAAAGGTGCGAAGGCGGGGAGAGGTGCGGGCGGAGACGAGAGGAGGTTCGGGCGGAGGCGGGGAGAGGTGCGGAGGCGGGAAGAGGTGCGGAGGCGGGAGGAGGTGCGGGCGGAGGTGGTGGGCGGAGATTGGCGGCAAGATGAGGCGGGGGGCGTGGGCGAGGTGGGGAGAGGTATGAAGGCGGAGAGAGGCGCGGAGGCGAGGAAAGATGTGTAATCATTCGCCCCCCTATCCTGACTTCCCCCACCCCCCC